AATAGTATGAGTTTCGTAGAACTTACCATGGCAGTAGCTCTCAACTCAAAGCTCTTAACTATGTCCAAATCACTGTTCAAGATATCATATCTCTGCTTCTCTGGATCTTGATGACGCTTGTTACGAATAAACTCTTTAAATCGAGCATCAGTCTCATCAACCCCGGCAGTATCAGGCGACTCGGCAGCGGCAGTCATCTTCTTGATCAGATACGCCGCAACCTGCTGCGTAATCATCCAATTATCGCCCTCAACAGTCGGCTTGGAGAGGTAATCATTATTAACCTGGATCAAGCCACTCCCGCCACCAAACCCATGGCCACCCATGGCGCGTCGACATGTCTCAATGCCATCCGCTGCGAGGATAGTGCACAGACTTTTCAATCCTGAAGACATGCTGTGCATATGAGCCAAGGAATTGAAATTGTCCTTCTCGATATCCTGCCGTGCGTTCTTGTAGACTGTCTGCATGGCAAGACCTGTGTAATGAAGTGCGAAGGTCGTAGCAAGGAGAGGCAGGATTCGAATTTGGACAGTCGGATAGTCCAAAACGGACATCTCCGGTCCCTTTTTATCGCCGTCTCGATCTTGGAACTGGCGTCGCACGCTGCTATACCGCACTGCAACAGTTACTGCCCGTGCGAGGACGAGTCGGGCGCGGTGGACCATGTTTGACCGCACGTAGGTCAGTGAGCCATAGATTAGGGCTGGCTTCTCTGGTTTGGTATAAATCCCTGTATGGGGGTCGACATTTGAGTATCGTGATAGCATAGCAGAGTGTGGGATTCTAGCATATTTTTAGCGAATAGACTAGTATAATGTGGACAAGGAACAAACCTGAACTGATCAAACAGCATGTACGCATTATCCATAGTAATATATCCATATTTCGGACCAATATCTCCAACAACAATCCCATCCAACGGTTGATGTGTCTTCATATCCCGCACCTGCACAATAAACGGATGAGGACCATGCGAGACGTATCTATCCGGCGATCCAGGATCCGGGAGAAGCAATTGCGCAACCACAATAGCGTGGTTAGCTAAACGGCCCAAACTACCATTCCACCATTTACTCGCCGTAAGAGTCGGACTATGCAGCACAAACTCCTTGGTCCGGCTATCCCATCGCGCCTCAAGCTCCAGACCACGGACATTACTCCCATGTCCCAGTTCTGTCTGTGCATATGCACCGATGATCTTCCAGGACTCGGTCAATGGCAGCCAGTACGCCTGCTGTTCCTTGCTGGCCTGTTCGCGGATGGTCGTGATAAACATCTCCATATGCAGGAAATAGGGCGACACATCGTCGACCAGGTACTCGGCCATTTGGTATTCGAGGTAGCTCCATTTGTAGGTATCTCTCATTCGGCGTAAGAGTTTTGCGCGCGCAACTCCTAGCTTGAACCTTTCCGGTCTGGAGAGGTTTTGTTGCTGGTCTTTGGAGAAAAGTGGCTCTTGTTGGATGATGAGGAGAATCCGAGCTTGTCGTTCCAAAAATCCATCTGAAGCCAATAAATGGCGTCCTAATTCTTCAGTGGCGATGTTGGATTGTTCACGCTCGCGGGCTAGTGTCGTTGGCCCATCTGGTTGGCTTGGGCGAAGGCTATCCGTAAAGTCAGGCATTTTGGAGTTGATTCTTGGAAGATCTGTATGTCAATAACAATTCTATTATTCTCGACTTTATTCATATATCAAATCCCCGTACCGAATTGCCTTGGCTAAATCGATAGTATCTTCAAAACCACCGAGTCCCGAATGCCGACACGCCTACCCCGCAAAATGTAAACCGCGGAGAATCAATAAGTAGCCGAATAGATAGAGTATAGCGATGAATTATTGGCTGAGAAGTTCAGCGGGGAAATGATGTGTTGCCGCAATTTGTATAGTCGACTACAATGGGATAAGATGGCCAACGACCCCAGGTCAGCAGTACACAGGCTCAGACGAAATGGGAGACCGCACTCTATTAATCCCTCCACATGTGGGAGACAATGTCTTGCCAAATCTCCCCTTTTTCCACAGACTGTTGCGTTATGCGCAACGTAAGCCTTCGCCAATTGTGGTTCGGGACTTGGTTGCTGACGTGGAAAAGACATACCATCATCTTGTTTCGGATGTGTTGGCCTTTCGCAAGGTTTTAGAAAGCTCACTCAGTCATGAAGCTCGACTCGATTTGATTGCAGACAAGGAGGTATACATTGGGTTACTTGCACCGGGGGGGTATGAATACACCGTCGGCTTCATCGCAATCCTCGCAATCGGTGCAGCAGTCGTGCCTATGGGTAAGTTTCAATATTCCAGAGAAAAACGCATAGCTGATAAGCAGCAGCTGCCGCAGTACCAGCAGAAGAAGCCTCGTACTTTTTATTGAAAGCACGATGTGTAGCTTTGGTAGCAAGCACAACCAGCGAAAACACGGCCCAGTCGGTGGGTCGCTATATGGGAGAAAGCAAAGGCATACACATCCCCTGCATATCCCCAATAGCATCTCATTTCCGTCCCACACTTCTCCCATCAGACGAAGCGACCATCTCCTCCGGTCCAGTACCAGATATGAACGCGGCAGCACTGGTAATTTTCACGTCCGGTACGACAGGGCCCCCCAAGGGAGCTGTGCAGCGTCGTAGTTATATCTCCGGGAATGGGGAGGCCGACGCAGACTATTACCAAATCACAGACAAGGACACAGTCCTCCACGTCCTTCCAGTGCATCATGCCTCCGGCGTGGGCTTGACCTTTCTTCCATTCCTCGCGGCCGGTGCATGTATTGAGTTCCGCAGTGGAAGCTTCGACATAGCGTGGACGTGGGAGCGCTGGCGACAGGGAGGTCTTACCTTTTTCTCTGGGGTTCCCACCATATACATGCGTATGATGCGGTACTATGAAGAGAATATTGCAAACCAAGCTCCTGAGGTACGTGACCAGTATATCGCTGGTGCGCGTCAGATTAGAGCGATGCTGTGTGGTACTTCAGCTCTCCCAGGGCCTGTACAAGAGTTCTGGCATCAAATCAGGGAAAAGCCAATTTTCACTCGATATGGTGCGACAGAGTTTGGCGCAGTCATCAAGACTGAATTGGATTCCGATGGAACGCCACAGAACAGTGTTGGTCGTGTTGCTGAGGCCGTCTCACTCAAGCTTACCGATGAAGGTCAGATATTAGTGAAGTGTCCTTACATGTTTTCCAAGTAGGTCAAATGTCCTTTCGAAAGCTGATGTAGTTCCATCCTCACGCATCTTCCCAACAGGTATCTCTTCGATGAGAAAGCCACTGCGGATGCACACGATGCCGAGGGATACTTTAAAACGGGAGATATTGCTCGCCGTGAAGGAAAATACTATTTCATCCTAGGCCGCGCCTCGATCGATATCATCAAGTCAGGCGGCTACAAGATCTCTGCGTTAGATATCGAACGCGAAATCCTAGGTCTGGATTATGTTTCCGAGGTCATGGTTGTGGGCGTTGAAGATGAGGAGTTTGGTCAACGAGTTGCTGCTACTATCAGCCTGAAACAAGATCAAAAGACCACCCGGAAGAGCCTCACAATTTCCGAGCTGCGGGAGGATCTGCGAAGTAGGATGGCCGGGTATAAGATGCCGACTATACTTCGTGTGGTCCAAGGTGAATTGCCCAAGTCGGGGACGGGGAAGGTACAGAAGAAGATATTGGGACCGCAGTATTTTCCACCTAACTACCGAGGGCTGTCTGAGGTGCAAGTCTGGAGCAGGGAGAATAAAGCCAAACTATAGGATCAAATTTAAATTAAAGCCTGCCTGATCAAGTGCTGGATAATTTTTACACATACATGCATTTGATCTCATTATCCATATCAAATCTTGACCTTAGCAGGCGCCGAAGTCACCCGACTATGAACATAACTAATACGCTGAAACTTCTCAATAGCATCCCCCCAAAGCTCCTGACGAAGCAAAGCATACACCCTACACAGCTTTAGCAGATATTCTTCCTATAAAAATTATTCCTACAGGTCAAAACTTACCCCATCTTCGCTTTAGGCGCCCACTTCGCCCCCAATTCCAAAGCGACATTCAGCATCTCTTCCGGTTCCGCAACAGCATCCACAATCCCATCCTCTAGCGCTTCAGGCCCAGTCCACTTATGCGCCTCAAGCAGCATCTTACGCGCAATCTGCGGACGCAGCTTGAGACGAGGCAGCGAGCCGATCCCGTCGAAGTGCAAGCCCAGGTTCACAGGCGGCATGGAGATAAAACCGCGGCGGGAGTTCATGATTCGGTAGTCGTGTGCCAGGGCGAGCGGACAGGCACCACCGAAGGTGTGCCCAGTTAGGAGGGCGATTGTTGGGAATGGGAAATCAAGGATCGTGTGGATAAGCTGAACGTTGGTTGTGAGTATGGTCTCATACAAGATGCTTATGTCTCTGTTCTCACTGGATAGAATCCATCTGTATTGGCAAATGGATTGTGGTCTGGATCATCCAGCTCGAGTCCCTAGGATTCATTTGTTAGTTCTTCTGGTGGTGCTCTGTTTCGGGGACTTCAATGTACAGTGCACCAGAATTTGGCATCATTGCCCCGTGTGATTACTGCTCCTTCTGAGTCGGAGCCCAGGATTCTTTCTACGGTGCGATAGGCCCGGATCATCTCCTGACAATATGATGAGTTCAACCGGTTCTCCGGGGGCTTCTGCATGGTCAGAACGAATACATTCCCATGCCTCTCGAGGGAGAGATTGTGGAAGGTTGGGATTTCTGTCATGATGCCAACTGTACGATTGAGTAAATATTGATATCGTAGTATATCCGATGTTCTACGTTAAACCGTCTATTAGTTAACTATCTGGCGATATACGTTCGTAGATCCCCCGCATTTCCACATCCTCACATTTACGTTGCCGAAATTCACCGAGTGCCGAGATTAAAAGATATTTGACAATCTTTGCTCATATTCATCGCTGTCATATTTTCTATAAATGCTCTGGAATCTATGGGTATATAGGTACATAGTCAAGAAATTTCTACCAGGCGATCTCGCCATTCCATTCTAAATCCTTGAACAGCCAATCCCCCATTCCCTGATATTGATTAAAGAAGTCACCTGGAATATCCTGCGACAGGTCTCCCACAGTGATGCCTTCATTGCGGTCCAAAATCGTCGTTAGTGGTCTGTACTCATCCGAAGATATAGCATCCGGTGCCCGGGACTCGGCCCAATCTCCTAGCACCTCTGGGGTCCCGGCTACCATAAAGCGATTTGTGCTGCCATCATGCCCCGCTTGTCCGAGATCCATGAAATATGACCAAGCCCAGGAAAGATCCGGGCCAAATCCCTCGAAAAAGGGTTGATGTTCTCTACAGAGCGTCATCGACGGCATTTCGTCTACTGTCGATGCGCTTCGCTGCTTTTCAGCAATGCTCTTCAACGCCCTTAGGCTGCCTTTCGCTGATGACCAGCGTTTCGCGAGTTCCTCGAGAGCCAGGTAAATGGATTCCAAGCTACCTGCTGCCTTCTCCCGGTGTGAGGGTACGTTATTACACGATAGAAGCCCGATCCCGGCAGCCAGAAGGTGGAATGTGAACACTGGGCTTAGGAATTGGATCTCATCTCGAGCGAGGAAATCTTCGAATATTCCTGCCATAAAAGACGATGCTAAAAGCACTCCTAGTGACGCAGACTCTCCGGGGTTTGGTCGACACAGGATTGCGAGGCAGGTAAAGTATGGAATGTGGAGCTGACGTGCTTCAAAGTTGTATCGGGCCAATGTTCTTTTCGGTAGTGCTGCATCTTCTGAAATACTCTGGAGGCAAAACAAGCGCAGTGATGGTGGAAGATCGCGTGTCCATCGATATAAACGATTCTCGAGGTTCTGTCGAGCCTCACGTGTGAGAGTCTTGCGACGACAGTACTCAGTGAGATGGCCCAGAATAGAACTGATCTCGACATATGCGATAAACAGAGTAGCATTTGAGCTTGAATCGTGGAAATCCTCAGGGCAAGGCGGTGCCACCTCACAATCCTCCAGGTCCACTGCTAGTGGCCGGCCCTGTCCTGCAGAAATGCAACAATCTCTAGCCTGTCTGATGTCAGCGATTCTCTGTGCTAGTGCACATTCCTTACTTACATATAGAGTCCACCACAGTCTGCGCCTCAGGGCAGCATCTCTTTTATTCGTTGGTTCCTTATGCAATCCAATCTGATGAGCTAACCCAACTCCCACATATCGCCAGAATCCACTAGTATTGGTGGACACATGTTCAGGGCCTTCTGGGTTATACCAATGCAAAATGCACACTGCTGCAACGACAGTCACTGGGTTTCTCTCGTATCCAGACCAGAACAGGGCTTTTGCGCGACGATAAAATTGATGCAAAGATGCATACGCAGTCACAGCCGGTGCAGACGTGACTCGGCTCGCAGCGACGAAAATAGACTGGAGAAGGAGTATGGACGGCTTCTGGGAGCCGCTTTCTTCTAGCCAGCTCCGCTCAATTATCGGCATCCATGGTGAACATCGTTCCATAAATGTGTTAATCAACCCTTCTCGGATGGCTCGTGGTGGGAGATCGAATGCACCTTGCAGTCTGAGCAGCTGAATGTCATCTTCAGTTGGCCCATCTGCGTCTCCTTCTGGGTAAGATCTAGCCTGTTCTTCGTTTATTGCCACTGCGTCACCAAAGTAGCGAGAGCGTGCCATGAAGCTTAAAGTCGAAGCGGATGAATATGGATTGGAGCCTGGTGTGATCGGCGCATGGTCTCCAGTACCAGCTCTACTTTGGCTGGTCTTGTGGCACTCATTCCGATCTTGGTCATACTCAGAGCTTGTACGTAGAGATCTGACTGAGCCGATAGGACTAAAGTTGCCTGTCGGCTGTTCCCAGTTCATCCGTCTCCTATTAACCGCTTCGGTATCATTGACGCCAGAGTCACCATCATTACTATGGGCTCTTTTTCTCTTGCGCTCTCGTCGACTGCACGGCAGTTAGTATATTCGTTCCAACATCATAAATTAAAATCAGTTTTCTTACGAACAGGGCCATTGATGCCGCTGGCAGTTCACACATACATCGGGATTCCCGTCGAAGATACAGCGAACCTAAAGAGATCAGTATGTCTCTCTAGGTTATTCCACTTTCTCGTACCTTCTTTTTATTGCACGCAACACATGCTGTAGGTGCACGTAATGGCGGAGGACAGAAATCGCTCATTTTACTTTAGTTTCATGCATTTGTAGAAAAGTCGGGGACAATTCGGAGTGGTCTCCTCTCCCGAGGTCAATTTCCCCAGCTTTTATTACTAACCGGCTCTTTCATAAATTACATTTATTACAGACCTTCGCAAGCGAGAGTCCGTAATTTTTAAAAAAGAATTTCAGGGGTTAATAGTACGGCAGTCTTTTGCGTCCATCGCGTCAACCCATATAATTTGTCCCTCATGGGTGTGATCTGTATATGTTGTATGCCTTGTTTGAGCTGTATCCATCGTTACGTTCTCATACATCAGGAACCTTCTGATATTAAACAAAAATACCCGTAGGCCGTATGGGTCATGGTTAGGAGAATACATGTAATTAGTTCCAAGATTGCTTTGTGAAGTATGCAATACTAATATCGACACCGAGATGGATATAGTTGATTGAACAGCAATGTTTAAAATAGCATGAACGATTCTTGTCTCTTGTTCTCTTGTTTAGCCATATTTCTGGAGGTTTATCCGAAGCAAAAACATAAAAAGACAAAAAGATGAGGGCCCGAAGCGCGATTCGAACACGCGGCCTCTCCGAATTTGAGATATAAACCCAAACGGAGAATCATACCACTAGACCATCCGGGCGGAAGATATATTGTGGGGCTGTTTAAGGATATATATATGAGATTAAGTAAGAGGTTCACATATAGCGATAGATCATCAAACAATATAGCATTGTTGTGGGTGTCGATCGTGGGAGTGTAGCTATTCCGTCCATCTAGAAATTCATATTTCAGCACAATTTGACTCTTGAAACAAAATAATAGATGAGCCATTTGTGGATATGTGTAGTTTATATAATAGCAGAAATTTGGCGCCCCACTATTTCTTAGTGAAGACTTTTATACGGATCCATGAATTTTGATAAATTATGATAAATTTCCTGTATTCTATACGCTACTGGTCTTACTTTGTCTAGATGTCTATATAATGACTACCTACATAGTAGGTATGCCTTATGTCTGGATTGGTCTATATATGATCCAACAAGTATGAGTGACAACTCTATACATATATATTTCTTCTATTAAATCATATAGTTAGATAGTTATGTTACGCTAGTTATTGGTAATATATACATATGTTAAATAACTAGTTCACATCATGTTTCACTAGGTAATATCAACAAGATAAGTCAATGTTATGTTTAGAGATGCTGTATAGGAAATAGTTATATACGCCAATACAGTAGCAACATTTATATCTGTTACCAGCCAAGTCTTCGAGTAAAAGAGTGCATTTAAACGAGAATTCCAAGTATAGGGAGAGAAAGAAAGAAAGAATCAAAGAGCTGCAAAGACAGGGTCCTCTGTTGAACCTTGTTAAACTCCCGGCAGAATCTCATCTCTTGACCTCCAAAGGGTAACAATATCTAGAGAAAAACAAATAGATTAGCCGCTTAGTACAGTGATTAATTTAGTGGCATAACTGATTTTTGGTTCGCTGAACCGCTTTAATCAGATGTTATACATAGAAAAGTCTTTACATAGAGTATGCCTCTTTTTTACCTCCTTTATATACACTTAGAAAATATATCTAAAAAGAACAACTAAAACCACCACGAAAAAGACATAGCAAGGCCGTATAAGCGGCCGACTATTCTTATAATGGATACGATGACAACCTTGACGAAGTGAGTGAGAATGAAATAAGCTCAAAATTGTCTAATTCGCGAGTCATACTCTCGTCGATTATCTCATCTTCCGCCCGGATGGTCTAGTGGTACGTTCCATTCAACTCACAATAACACCAATTTCCCCGCTAACTCATCATAGGTATGATTCTCCGTTTGGGTTTACATCTCAAATTCGGAGAGGCCGCGTGTTCGAATCGCGCTTCGGGCCCTCATCTTTTTGTCTTTTTATGTTTTTGCTTTCTTCCATTGTACTGCAATACAATACGCTGTCAATTTCTTTTCTCTCTCTATATGTTGTGGTACCACCTCACGGAAGAGAACATAACTTCCGACCGCCGTATCTATAGCATTCGCCCTAAGAGGTCTGTACTTTATCACGATCGAAGACAGACATTCTCTATATAGTTATGAGCTAAATATCAATGTTTCTTTACGATAACACTCATTATCAAGGTTACGATGCCCACGGTTAACGAAAACAGGGACATAACCGAACCTCCGGCTATCCTATTTTGGATGTTTCGTAACAGATATTATATTTAAAACAAGATATCGGGGAAGCGCTTGGAAATCCAATGGGGTATCTATTGATTTTAAAAAATGTACATGGTTTTCATGCCCAGCCTGCAAGCGTCCAACTTGACCGATCACCGCCAGATCTCAAGCCCGATCGACGATCAGGAACAGGATGGTCGATGTCTCGTGTAGCTCCAGCAAGTCCATGCTGTAAGAACTTCTCTCGTTCAATCTCTACCATCCCCCGGATCTTCAGACTAGTTGTCAGGCTCGCACCCGCCCATGGACCAAGAGATTCAACTTCGCGCAACACTCCTTGAATAGGAACTGGAATATCTTTGTTTTGCCGGCGGAGCTTTTGTTCCACGAAATCGATTTCAGGCACTTCCTTTGAGGGATCTGCTGGTTCGTCATTGGTGGATGGTGCTTCCCCATTGCTCTTAGGGGTTTCAGGTGGGCTGGAAGCTTTTCGGGCTGAAAGTCTCAGCTCCTCCAATCTTTGTCGCTGTCGCTCGAGTGCTTTGCCTCGAATTGGACTCCATCCGTGACGATCAATCAAGAGTGAGACTTCTTTAAGGACCCGCCGGCGCAGCCCAGGAATTCGAGAACCGCCGCCCACAAAGACAATGCGGGACATGCATGTTCCTCGCGCATCAGGGCACAATGACAGAAGGCTGTTGTAGACAAGCAAAGGCAGGGACTTTTCTTCGTCATCCAATTCATGTTCTTCGACACCTGGTGCGAATAAAACCTTCTCGGCAGGTTCGGCGAGATGTGAAAACGGCACCTCCATATATTCTTCCTCGGGGTTTGCGGGCGAAGGAATCGACAATTTCCGGTTCAGTTCATCCGAGCTTGTGTCTTTTTTTGCCTGCGGTTTGCACCAGGCAAACCGACTGACAACTTCTTCACAGTACGCGAATCCAACAGAGATCCTATTTGCAGTATCCGGATCTTGGCTCCCGTCGGAAGCCAACCCAGTAAGAAGTAGCCCCATTTCCTGCATCAAATGCTTCATAGACCGAGTTGTTCTCTTAGTAGTCATCTCTCGGTATTCGTAGATAGCCGTTGCCGTGGTCTCGGCCCAGCCAATGTCAACGACCAAAGCTGACCGCAATCCCGCAGCCGTGGCTGACATTGTCGCACTGGACAGAAGGGTAACACTCGGGAAGCGCCAGCGACTGAATAACGTCGACAACAATGACGACAGCAATGGGTGCGGCATGAGAGACGGCAGGACAAGAACAAGACGAGATGTGCCTGCATCCGTCAACAGAAACTGGTTGTATGTCTCTCGAAACGCGCGTTCGATCTTATCCTCGACCAGGCCCAGATCAACCTCTCGGGAGTCTGGCCGCCACAATTCATATACCCGTGTCCACTCGTCCATGTCGACGGATTGCGGTAGCCGTCCAGCACCGGTGCTGCCCTGGATCCATCCTCGATAGTCCCCCACCCTCCTCGAGTCTTCGGGTCCGAACCCAACCACACATACGGGCGCGCTGCTTCCTTCAAAACCTGCGCGGAGCCATCGTGCGCCTATCTCAAATATGATCGCATCGTCTTCGCTTCGAAAGGAGGAGCTCGGTGATGTGCTGCTGGCGAATGAGGGGTTTCCCGAACGTGCCTGTGGTGTATGAGGGGAAACAGGTCGTGCTGTCTGGCTATTGCGCAGACCGGAAGTTGCTGATGCGCGTTTACTGGCACCCATTGAGGGTGTATCACTTGACATGCTTGATTGGGCTTGTTCTCTTTTCTGGGAGCAATAGGAGTCCGGGGGGTTTGTGGTGATAAGTATTCAATTCACCAGCGCAGGGGTTGGAGTTTCAACGCCATCAGATTTAATTCAAAGACAAAAAAGAAAAGTAAGATCTATAAGCTTGCGCAGGTGGTTCATTGGGGGAAGCTCGTTGGTGGGCAACAGCGGATCTACATCGGGCCGTCTTTATTTACTTGACAACCTCCTCTCCGCGCCACAGCGAAGACGTATTGTACATCTTTAACTCCACATGGGTGCTTTCACTGCTTTTTGATTTTTTCTATTGCCTATAATCGGCATGGGTATTCCTGGGTACGTGAATTGAGATCGTTTTTTTTTTTTTTTGCATGCTAGGAAACATCCCTGAGCATGAGTGAAAGCATTGTTTATCTACCACATGAGAAGCCGAACTTTGCATTTCCAAATTTCTCAATCAAAAGGCTAACTTCCTAAAGGCTCATAAACGCCATTGGCCCAGGAGAGCGTATATCCCTGGCCAAGTTGGCAGTGACGCACCTGGAACGGACAGCAAGGCCGATCCGCATTGCAGTCGATATTTCGATCTGGCTCTTTCAAGTCCAAGCAGGTCGGGGAGGAAGAAACCCAGAGCTACGCACACTATTTTATCGATTATTAAAATTACTTGCATTGCCAGTTCACCCCCTTTTTGTCTATGACGGACGGCAAAAACCTGCTTTCAAGAGAGGCAAAGCAGTCTCAAACCGCAGTTATGGCAGTGCGCCGATCATCAAACGCTCTAAGGATCTCATTGAGCGATTCAGATTCCCGTGGCACGAGGCACCTGGTGAGGCAGAAGCTGAATGTGCGCGACTGCAGCAGGCAGGTATTGTAGACGCTGTCATGAGCAACGATGTTGATGCATTGATGTTCGGGTCGTCTTTTACCATTATGAATTTCTCAAAAGAAAGCGGAAGCGGCAGCTCTTCTGCAACTCATGTCACATGCTATGCAATGGGGCAGGATGGGCATCCATCAAACATACCGCTTGACCGACCTGGAATGATTCTATTCGCTATGCTCAGTGGAGGGGACTATCTACCATCTGGTGTTCCGAAATGTGGCAGTAAGCTAGCCGCAGAGATTGCCAAGGCTGGATTCGGCGAGGATCTTCTGCAGGAGCTTGTGTCGCAAGCAGACGTGGATACAGGATTGAGCGAGTGGAGAGAAAGACTCCAGTACGAACTTGAGGAGAATGAGAGTGGGTATTTTACGAGGAAACATCCAGCAGTTCGCATTCCAGATGTTTTCCCGGACCGACAAATTCTCGAGTACTATGCCCAGCCCAAAGTTTCCAGCGATGAGGAAATGACCTTTTTGAGAAATCGGCTCGCACAGGCTTGGGATAAAAATATCGACCCCCTAGCAATCCGAACATTTGCTGCAGACCACTTTGAATGGAATTATCGATCGGGAGCAAGGAAATTGATCAAGTTGCTGGCCGAGCCTCTTATTTCGTACAGACTCCGTCTCCAGAGACCAGTTCTAGGCGTGTCGCCTGGTTTTTCATATGTGCCCGATTGCCCACCTAGTTTGCAAAAGGTGTATCGAAGCCGGTCCAGCTTCGGCACTGATGCAGTGCCAGAACTCCAGCTAGATATGCTGCCCGCAGATGTTGTTGGGCTGGATCTCCTCGCCGAAGAACCAAACCCCCCTTCTCCATCCGAAACTAGTGTGCAAGAAGGCGAGGAAGAGGACGACGCAGAGGTAGCTGCTGGATCGGTACCTCCCTCACCATCGAAGTCTCGAGTAACAAAACGATTTGATCCATTCTCCCTCGAAAAAGTCTGGGTATTCGAGACTGTCGCAAAACTAGGTATTCCTGAAGTCGTCAACAAGTGGGAAAAGGAACAGGCTGAAAAGGCCACGAAAGCTGAAGAAGCTGCGGCGAAGAAGAAGACCAGTACTCGACGCACAGGTCCCAAGAAAAAGGGACCGATTGATGCTGGAATGAAACGGGGGAGTATCTTGAAATACGGAACTCTCACGAAAGAAAAGTCGGAATTGTCAACAACTAAAAAAACGCACTTGTTGGAAGCCGCTACATCGACCCAGAATCCTCTTTCTCGGCTTGCTTCTGGTGTTGGGTCTTCTTCGCCCATAAATGCGGACCAGGAAGATGATCCTTTCTCCTCTCCGAGTATGTATACTCAGCAGAGATCCTCGCCAACGATGCACTACGTTTCCCGGGAGGTCGATAGTCTCCTTGATTCATTCTCTTCGATGTGTAACTTGTCTCCTTCTGCCAATACCAAGCGTCATCCCGTCTCGGGCCAGTCTCGCATTAGATCAATATGCACAGTTCTGGGAGCTGGTGGGATTGATATTGAAGAATCAGACCCACTGGCCATGAACACCGATTATTCTCCATCTCGATCGGCAAGGCGCACGGGGCTCAATATTAGCTATTCAGTCTCCGATATTTGTGAATCTGAGACTTTCATGGAGGACTTCCTAGCCAGAACACCGATGGCAATGCCTTCTCTGTCCGGGAAGACTCTATCCAAGTCTAAGAAGAACCCTAAAGCACAGTGCGAGAAAAAGGCCGAGGTTGAACACATCGAAAAAGCCATCGAGTCCCTTTCTCTGTCCTCGAAAATCGACGAGGGTCAGCATAAAGACAATGCAACTTGCTCGTTGCGCAAGCCCTCAACGAAGAAGGCACCGCCACCAACAAAAGCTCGGACTCGTTCCTCTAAGACCGAAGATATCAAACCACCCCGATCTTGCAGTCAAGCGAAACCCAAGCCCGCGCTCGAGCCAGAGCATACGTTGCCATTGAGCTTGGGAACATGCGAAAACAATGCGACTAACGGCATAAGCAGGTCTCCCAAGAAGTCTTCAAAGGAGTCGACAAGCACAACTTCGAAGCACAAGACCACGGGACACTTGGAAAACATCATATTACACGACGGCTTTTGGTCGATCGACCCATCTCCACCTAAACAAGATCCGTGCGAAGGTTCAGCTGCCGAGAGTCTGAGCGCATCGCGCAGACAGGCTACCAAGAAGAAAAGACTCCCACGCGTCAGTATCCTTGACCTCGTTTAATTAATGCCTTGAATATACCCTTTTTCTCTTTTTGGCGGGTTGGCGTTTAGCGTCAATTTGATTTTTCCCGGGTTTGTGGGTTTTGAATACAAGCCTGTGTGGTGCAATAGCATTTTTGGTTGTCCTACGGCGTTGGATAAACATGTTGAATACCTTCTGTCAAGAATCAGGCAAGTTAATACCTCATGCATTGTTGGATGTCATGTACATATGTTGCGGATGTCTTTGTAAATAAGAAAGACTATGTATGTATATCTAAAAAACGTACAAAAGCCATGTTCAAAAAGTAACCATGCAAAACACACATCCAAAGAGTATAATCCGAAGTGAAGAGAGAAGTACCAAAACGTGCGTGGCTTCAGCCAGTCCCCATCTAAACCAGAATCCAATTCTTGTTGCAGCACAATGCCAGAAAGTAGAGAAGCACACGAGAGACATGCCCAAATATTAAACAGAAATAATATTAGAAAACGAAAAAGGGAATATTGTGCAAGCGCCGATAAACCAGGAACTGTATCTGTATCATTTATGAATCTACCCAAATACCTTGAGGAAACCCCATAGGCCAACTCCACTCAACACCGGGATCGTCAGGTTATCATCCCAGCCCCACATGTCAATGAACTCGCTGCCAGCGGCAACAACGCCAGAGACGACACTCATGACACCCAAAGCCAAAGGACCAGTAATAACCGCCGAGTCACTGGGTTCCCATCCCAGAAGGCCACGAACGCAGTTCGGGAGCAGATTCAAGCGTCCGGTGAACATAAATGCGTCTTGCGGGTCATTAGGGAAAGCACCAATGTAAGGCACGAACCAGCCCCAGAAAGCAGCAGCGGTGACAACACCCATGAGCCATGCCGCCATGGTACCAGCCAAGCTCTTTCCGGGACGCAGACGGGGGGTGTAGCGGCCGTACAAACGACCGAGTGTCGAGGCGGCGGTGTCACACCAGCTAAGGAGTAGCACGCTCATGACGCCGACGTCCTTGGGGAAGAAGCGGAGAGCAACATATGCTCCGAGAAGATACCAGATGACGCCGTTGTAGCCGGTGACCTCTGTTTCGCGCATGAGGGCTCCCATGCACCGGATGTATACCTTGTTGACCTTCTCGAAGCGGTGACGGATGAGGTCCGTTGCTGCAATCGGTACTAGTGCGGTGAAAAGAACAGGTGTTATCTGCAGAGTTTGCACACCTCGGCTGTATAATGACAAAGTCAAAAATCCGATTGACACGTGCAAGAGCTTGCGCGGGATCTCATGGCGGTGGATGAAGCTGCGGTAGCGGGCGTGGAGGGGGATTAGCCCAAGGGGAGATGGTGATCTTGATAAGTCGTGCAGGGCAGCTGGAATGCTTGACGGGGATAGAAGATTGTTCGAGGCAGTACCGTTGGCCGAGCGTGGCGGCGAGGCGGGTATTTTGGGGTTTGATCGGCGGTTGCGCCGAGCCGAGGGTGTCGTGGGGGATCTTGATGCTCGCGCTGAACTGGTACTTTCGGGTGAATCTTCTGGCTGACGCGAGCGACGTGCTGCAGACCGTGTGACTGGTGCATTATATCCATCGGGCGTCTTGGACTGGTCCGATATAGAGGGTGTGGGTGATATCACGCGAGGCGTTGCCGGTACGGAATTTGGCGAGGACATATCGGGTGCCCTCAACTTAAAAGCAGGCAGTGATGCAGTTCGAATAACACCAAAAGGTGACCGCGTACATATATCTGTGTTGTCGCAAGCGAATATGCCACGGAGTATCAACGGACTTGTTAACAAAGCAATGATGGGCGGTTTGGGAGCACGTGACGGTGCTTTATCGTTAATTATGCGCGAATAAGCTGGAGAAACAAGACAGAAACCCAGTACATGATGCGGCCACCAAGCACTTGTTATATTAAATAAAAGTAAAGTAAATGTAGTAAGCCTATGTCGAGGGAAAAAGCAGATCGCGATCCCAGTTTCCGCCCACAGCCGCAGTCACGTGCCCGGTATCTAATCGATAACGGATAATTTTTTTTCTTTGCGATGCGACTCGAGAAGCAATTTGACGACTCGCTGTCAGTCGGAATTAATAAATGCCTCCCAAGTCGTCTTCAAGAGCGTGGGATGCTCTCACGCCCCCGCTGTCAGAATGGTCCCTCGATGCTGTGGCCTCAATGGGCTTCACGCGCATGACTCCAGTCCAAGCCTCGGCCATTCCTTTGTTTATGCAACATAAAGACGTGGTGGTGGAAGCTGTCACTGGAAGTGGAAAGACATTATCATTCTTGATTCCAATTGTGGAAAAGCTTCTTCGTCTTGACCAACCCCTCAAGAAGCATCATGTTGGAGCCATCATCATTTCTCCGACAAGGTGGGTTAATGCGCAAATCTAGGTCTGCAGAGTTCGTTGCTAATATTGATATCAGAGAATTGGCCTCGCAGATCCATCAAGTTCTTCTCTCGCTTTTGGAGTTCCATCCAGCGTCAGCCGCCGCCATCAAACCTGCCGAAGAGGGTGCTCCTCGTGCGAAAACATCTTCATCGACATTGAGGGTCGTTCCACAACTTCTACTGGGCGGCGGAACATCTCCGGCCGAAGATCTGAAACTATTCCTCAAGAATTCGCCCAATGTATTGGTTTCTACACCTGGAAGATTGTTGGAGCTACTTTCGTCGCCTCATGTTCACTGCCCCCAGGCATCTTTTGAAATGCTTGTCCTGGACGAGGCCGACAGACTTCTTGATCTTGGATTCAAAGACGACCTGCAGAAGATCTTGGGCCGTCTGCCTAAGCAGCGACGTACAGGATTATTCAGTGCCAGTATCAGTGAGGCTGTTGATCAGATAGTCCGACTCGGGCTACGGAATCCCGTCAAAATTGCCGTCAAGGTCAGAGGAGGAGCTGGCGTCGAAGAAAAGCGCACTCCAGCGAGGTATGTCTTTCCATCTGTTGTTCCAAATCCAACCCCAATCTAACCACTCAACAGCCTGCAAATGACCTACTTGACAACACCTCCGCTTCACAAATACGCCATTCTGAAGCACATCCTTTCCACTGTCCAGCCCACCCCCCAAAAAACCATTTTCTTCGTATCGACATGCTCTAGTGTCGACTATCTTGCCACAATACTACCCATAATCCTCGGAGACGAGTTCGTGCTAGTCCCACTACACGGTAAACACCAAGCCAACGTCCGCCAAAAGAACTTCAACCGCTTCACCACCTCCACAGCCCCATCCATCCTCCTCACGACTGATGTCGCTGCCCGCGGTCTCGATATCCCCTCCGTCGATCTAGTAGTGCAGATCGACCCACCCTCAGACCCCAAAACCTTCATTCACAGATGCGGTCGCGCCGGTCGTGCCGGCCGTCGAGGCCTCAGCATCGTCCTCGTCCATCCCGGCCGCGAGGAGGACTATGTCTCGTTCCTAGAAATCCGCAAAACACCCGTTGCGCCATACAGTCTACCCGAGTTTACGGACGAACAGGCCACAGCCGCGATCGACAAGGTCCGCAAGGTGGTGTTGAAAGATCGTGCCATGCATGACAAGGGTCAGAAGGCATTCGTCAGCTGGCTGCGCAGCTACAGCAAGCACCAGGCAAGCAGTATCTTCCGAGTTGCGGATCTGGACTGGGAGGCGCTCGGCAAGGCATGGGGACTCCTCAAGCTACCAAAGATGCCTGAAGCACGCTCGTTTGAAGGAGATCGGACGTTGGGGATCAAACTTGAGTGGTCCAACTACACGTACAAGGACAAGCAGCAAGAAAAACGTCGCAAGGAGGCTATGGAGGAGGCTGCGAATGCACAAGGCACTGAGCAGGGATCTAACAAGCGCCGTGCTACGGAGAGTGTGGCTTGGAGTCAGAAGACTGAAGAACGGGATAAGAAGTTGAAGAAGAAGGAGTTCAAGAAGGCTCGGAAGGAGAAGGAGAGATGGGAGCAATTGCCAGAGGATCAGAAGCAGAAAGCCCTTGAAACGGAGCGCATGTTGGAGGAGATTCGAACTAAGAATGAGCAGCAGCGGCTGTTGAACCAAGCTAGTCAGGCGGAGGAAACAAAGGGCGATGAGTTCCAGGGCTTTGACTAGTTGGAAAATAGCATAGTAGATATCTATATACCATGTTATATCTTTATTTCTCTGCTACTCCAATTGCTACTCTACGAACCTCATCGCTAAAATCTGTTGACTTGTGGAAGCTAAGCATTCCATTCAAATAACCTAACAACCGCTAATGTTCACTCATGACAATGCGCTAAAGAGCGACCAAAAAAAGACGCAAAAAAACCAACCAAACCGCAGAACACCAAAACACCAAAAACAAATCGCAAAAAGTCAAAAAGGACATTCTCCTAGGCCCAAGCGTGGGTCGATCCCTTAGGAGATCCAAAGCGGTCCTAAAGATGTCACAACGAAAAGAACAGAATTGAGGTCTCAACTCCCGGTCCAAGCAGAAGGTGGGCCAGGGAAACCCTGCAATTCCATTCTTTTTTTTTTTTTTCTTCGTTCTGTTGTTCTTCTTTTTCAGGTAGTTGAGAAGGTACCTGTTCAGAAGGTATCCCAAAAGGTATTTCAGTATTTCAGAAGGGGTCGAGTCAAAGGTTAACTTAAGATCCAGTCACTGGCCAGATGATATGCTTCAGACAACCCGTAGGGAGCATGCCGTGGCCAGTGAGGTCTGTTTTTCTTTTTCTTTCTTTTTTTTTATTGAGTAGCATGCCGAGTAGCAAGCCGGCTCATGAAGACCCCATGGTGGTGGTCAATGTATGCCTCCTCGGTGGGATATCGGCCGCCGCTCGTCAAGGGCCATGCGTGCGGTAGATATTTGTGAAGGTTAGGATCGCCGAAATCCAAGCGCTCAATCCAAGATTCAGTCTCAGGCCAGATGATTTGGCTCAGATCGCCGGTAGGGCATGCCGTGGTCAGGGAGGTTTTTCTCATCTTGCGGCGACGGAGGACGTCATCATCAATCAAGGAGTTACAGCTGGTCGAGAAGCGATGGGCCGCTCGAAGACGACTGGGGGTCTTCGGCTTGTACTGCTCTGCGTGCTGACGGGCCTTGCGAAGTTCGTCGCCGGAATCTTCGATCGGCTGGAATGCGCGTTGGTCATTGAAGTTTTCCAGGCGGGTATTTTCAGGGCGAACACGCTTGGAGACATGCTCCTCTTCCGATGCATCGCTGGGTGCAGGTTGTTGGGTCGTGATATCTTCACGCGCACGCTTGGACAAATGCGCCTCTTCTGGTGCATCACTGACTGTGGCTTGGCGCGCACGCTTGGACACATGCTCCTCTTCTGGTGCATCACTGACTGTGGCTTGGCGCGCACGCTTGGAGACATGCTCCTCTTCTGGTGCTGCGCTGACTGTAGCTTGTTTGGTCGTAGTATCTTGGGGTCCCTGCTCGCCTGTGGGCAAGTTCTCATCGACCTCATCGACCTCATCGACCTCATCAATCTCGAAGTAAGCTGGGTCAAACCCGTAACTACATCCTGGAGGGTGTGGAATGACATCGGGAGAGGGTTCTCGCTTGCGCTTCTTCGATTCTCTCTCGCAGATCGCACGAAGTTCTTCTTCTGAATTTGGAGTGTCGATGCCCGCAGTATCCGATGCCCCGGCACGCATGCGCGCAAGCAATGCTGGGTCGAAACCTCGTGGATACAGATCATAGTCATATTGCCTTCTTTGGCCGACTCGTGGAGCACGTGCACTGGCTATCAGACGCGAGTTTTGCTCTGCAGCACGTGGGCGGGGAGTAGGAGATTGGAAATTTCTTGGTGACCTAACGGAAGAGGAAGGGGGGGCTGAGGAGGGTGTTGCGATGGAAGAAGATCCATTTCCCATTGGACGTTGAGTTTCAACCACTAGAATCAACATGTTAGCCACTAGAGATATATACCATAATATAAGGGACATCTACCTTGTGGGACCTCTGCATTTTGGGGCACATTGCCTCGTCTCCAAAGACCAGTCACTGAGTTGAAGAACCATTTTCCCCAACCAGTCCGGTTTTGATTTTGATTCTGAGTTGGTGGAAGTGCAGAAGGCAATGAAGAGAATGAAACAATGCGATTACCACGGGGCGCGGTCTCTTCATATGCGTGAGAGGCCAGAGGGGTCGAATTGCCAGATCTCGCATCTTCGCCCTGCTGAGCCAAAAGCTCGGGGACACGGTAAATGGTGCTATCGATTCGTCCATTCCTTTCCGCTTCGCGTCGTCGCGCACGATCCGCATACGTTCTGCGAGAGCTGCCACGAGGACGGTTTTCGAAGCCGGGTGGAGTTTGAAGTGTCAACTTGTGACGTTTCGACGGCGAAGGATCATCTTCGGACAATCGATTCCGTTTCCTACTGGGTTCTTCCGTGGGGGTCAGCGGGTATTCATCCGGGGTATTCATCATAGGGTGTCTGCGAGGCCAATCTTTCCAGGGAGATGGTGGGGACCAGGGGAGTGACCAGGGGATTCGACGAAGCTTATCATAGACTCTTCCAGGTGGCCAGGCATAGTGAGTGACGGGGGTTTGCGGGGGGAAGGAGTTGGCTCAGGCTCCCTTTTCAGGAGTTCGCTGGCACTGCCCCATTTGAAGGCCGTAATGATTCGTCCTCTGAAAATGTGCGGGGGGGCCGGGGGAGCCCGGGGGAGCTTGGGGGGCAACGTACGGGTGTCTGGTTGCTCCACCGACGGAATGAGTGCAACGGGGTCTTCCTGGGACTGGGCGGCTTCGGCAGCGTCAGGCTCCGAGGTGGGAGCGGTGGCGGCCCTCTTGCCTTTTGCCGCGGCCTTCTAGAAAAATGAGTCGGGTATGAACAATTGTGACATTTGATTTCTGGACTGACCTTCTTGCGGCCAGCTTTCTTGGCTGGCTTCCGCTTTGGAGCGGGCCTCTCTCCCGCGGACCGAGTCTCTGACACAGTCTCTTGCGCCTCGGGCGCGGTGGTGGTGGTCTCGGATGCTGCGTCCGTCCCAGGCGCCGACGCACTCCGCGTCGTGCGCCGGCGGCGTGGGATGTACTCCGAGATTGGCGGAAGAACGTGGTTCGACCGCAGTCTCATCTTGGCGAAACGCGCAAGATGAGGAGGGAGGGGGTTAGTGGCGAGGGGGTGGTGAGGGGCAGGTGAAAGAGGTCTGATTGAAATATAATGGATCAGTCAGAGATCTCTCAAAGATCCCTGGGTAAAATATGTAGATACTAACCGGTTTGGTAGAGTCGATCACAAAGGCTCTGGCAAAATATATGGCAAGATATATCCAAAAGGCAATGCTTTGAATGGTAACGTTGCGGATGATGGGGAGGAGAAGAGAAGAATAGGATAGGAGGAGAATAAGAGGGGAGGATGTAAACAACAACGGTTGCTAGACGCGACTAAACGATCAAAAGGGAAGGAGCGCCTTGGTTTTGGGCCAAATCATGTCACTTTTTCAAAATCGGAAGGCGCGATCCGGCAGAATTGTTTGATTCCAAGGCGGTGTGATACGTGACAATGGACCTATTGAGGCTGTCGCAAGGGACACCCACTGACTATTGTTCCAATTATTGTCCCTATTGTCTGATATCACGGAGTTTTTCTTTCAGTAGGCGATTTTGATCTCAAAATACTATATCACATTTTTAGTTACTTCTAAATTGATACATTAAGCAATCTTGTTTCTTCTCTTCTCGTCTCGTCTTAGATCGTCCCCGCATACTCCATAGTCCACTCCTCCTAAATAAGCCCAAAATAGGCCATTGTCTCAATACAATCCATTGCTCGCTGATGTTGTCAAGATATCTGCTCCATATAGTCATCACATACTAGCGATTAAAGCTTTGATATACTTAAAAAGTCCGTGTCTGTAGCCAATGCCTATTGCTCTCGAGTACCTGGAAAATGCTAGAGATCATTTAGGCGAAACAGACTAAACTCCAGAGCTTATGTTCAATAACAAGTTGGTTACTTGAAATTTTGTTAACGTGAAAATAGATCTGGGAAATGAAACAATGCTATTTGTACAGATGCTCTGCGAATGAAACATGGAAACAGAGACATAGACCAACAAGTACCCCTCGCTAGCTCCTAGATAGATGATACAAGGTAACACGCTGATGCTTTTTTCAAAGCCAGCCAATCACAAAAGAAGAGAATAGTGTAGAGATACAAAAGATCTCTTATTAAAACAATGCCCTTCATAGGGCAATCTCTCCCTTCCACGCAGCGTCGGACAATCCCAATGTCCCCATCAGGTTCTGCCACCGGGGACCTCCACGTTCCTTCTTGCGGACATATTGCAGCAGCTTCTGGCGCTTGTGGACTAGTACTTGCAGGTTGCGCTTGTTGTGCTTGTCCTTGTTGGCGGTCTCGAGGTGTCGGGAGAGGTTCATGATTTTCACAGTCAGGATCGCCGCTTGCACCTCCGCAGAGCCGGTATCGGGTCCAACACGCGGTGCGGGTTCCGGATGAACAGGGGCAGATTCATGAGCCATGGCCGAAGGCTTTGGTGGGAGATTTGAGTCTGTGTAGTGTCGCCCGAATGTTTCGATGCACTTTGTAATGTTGAGGCGCACGCGGTCCTTGGTGTTTCCATTGTTGAGGTTGACAATCCGGTTGATTGCTTCCTGAGCATTCTTATGCTCTTGGTTATGCAAATTCACCGCCTCCTTCTCGGCTTGAGGATCGGCTGTGTTGCGATCGAGACTTTTAAGCGGTGCGGTCAAATCCTTGGAGAAGTCGAGGGCGGCATCCAGCTCGTTCGACTTTAAGTAGTAGTTGAGATCCTCGGACAAAGATGATGGGATGTGCGAGTTGGATTGGATTGCTGTCATCTCTAGGATAAATGGCGTCGGCTGGCTCTTAACAGGGTCCCCGAGCGAGGATCCCCGTTCCTCCGCAAGGACTTTCTGGCGGGAGACATTGGCTGCCTTGCGCTGGCGCGCCTGAGCCATCATGAATGGGTCATGTTTCCTCCGGACTTGGACCTTGCTAGATGCAGCTCTGATAGAAGTGTTGATCGAATTGGACAACGGGCTAGATCCGTAGGTTGATCCTATACGAGTCTTGGTTAGCATCCAGGTAATTGAACATTTGACTTGACTGATCTCGACTAGCATACCGGACAATGCCTTCAAAGAGGACTGAACTGAAATGCGCGGAGGCATGGTGGACGTAGCTGGCGAGTAGATGACTCTATTGTAACAATCAACTTCTCTTTTCCATCGACCTTTCGTCGGGAAATCTTGCGGCCGGAGGTCAAACCACGCTAATCCTAGTCAGGATAGTATACGCCTCAGGCATAGAGAATCACGTGGACAAAGAGCCAAGATCAGTATTACATAACCAATACCCCAGCGGGCCCTGGAGCCCTAGCCCTAGCGCACGCAAGCGAAATTCTCCCGAATCGCGAGAGTGCAACAATTTTGCGGCTTGGCTTTGATCTTTTTCCCTCCATCACCACGACAAGAGCCAGACGATTGATCCTCCAAATCATCAATCTATCAATCGCCCAATATGGCCCCTTCCCAGCTCCCCCCGGTTTTCAACCCTACCGCGCAGGACATTGAGATGCTCCTTGCCGCTCAGTGCCACCTTGGTTCCAAGAACCTTCAGGTGCACATGGAGCCTTACCTCTGGAAGCTCCGCGCCGACGGTGTCAACGTCCTGAACATTGGCAAGACCTGGTACGCGCAAACGCAAAACGACTTCTGACTGTAGTATAGTGTCTAATATATATGTTTCATTGAAATAGGGAGAAGATCGTCCTGGCCGCCCGTATCATCGCCGCCATTGACAACCCCGCTGATGTCTGTGTCATCTCCGCTCGTCCCTACGGTCAGCGTGCTGTCCTGAAGTTCGCCTCCCACACCGGTGCCACTGCCATTGCTGGTCGTTTCACCCCCGGTAACTTCACCAACTACATCACCCGCTCTTTCAAGGAGCCCCGTCTCATCATCGTGACCGACCCTCGCACTGATTCCCAGGCCATCAAGGAGGCCTCTTACGTCAACATCCCCGTCATTGCTCTTTGCGACACTGACTCCCCCACCGACTTCGTCGATGTTGCCATCCCTACCAACAACAAGGGTCGTCACGCCATCGGTCTCGTCTGGTGGATGCTCGCCCGTGAGGTCCTCCGTCTCCGCGGTACCCTCGCTACCCGTGAGACCGAGTGGGACACCGTTGTCGATCTCTACTTCTACCGCGACCCCGAGGCCGAGGAGAACAAGGAGATTGCTGATGAGGCCAAGGTCGCCGGTGCTGAGGAGATCGGCGCTGGTGCCGTCGAGTCCGGCTTCGCTGGTGAGAACTGGGATGCCTCCGCCCCTGGCGCTGGTAACCCCGGCACTGCCTTCGCTGCTGCCTCCGCTGCCACCGCTACTGCCGGTGCCACCAGCTGGGATGCCGAGGGTGCCGACTGGGCTGCCAGCTCCGCTGCCCCCACCGGCGAGTGGGCTGAGGCTGCTCCTGCCGCTGGTGAGACCAAGTGGTAAATTGCTTCGCGGTGACGAGGATAGTCGTTGAGAGGGGGGAAGTTTGATCTCAATAAAAAGTTTGGTGATCCGGGATGATTGTGACGATTTTCTGGGTCCCTCGAGGCACAAGAATCGAAGAAATGCTCTTGTTTTCTCTTATACACCATCTAATCCATTCAAAACGATGGATTACAATCTCCCGCAAATTCCCTTGACATGTCTATCCTAGTCCCTGTGTGCAATTCTCAAAAAACCAAAAGAAACTGAAAAACAGCAGAAGAAAACGAGCTTTCACCGGGAACCTTTCAATCTTTTGCCTCAGTGGTCTCATCTTACCAGCACTTTTTTTTTATTTCCATGTTTTTGCATCGGGGAGGAATTGCCATGCCAATCATTGACTGGCGCTTATGAGGGAAAGAGATCCAGTTGCTTTTATTTACGAAGCTTCTGGGGGAAAGCCCTGTGCTGTCAATTCACAAGGTGGACTTAATCGTTACCTTGGTTTCTCCCTGTGTGTATTCTAGTAATCTGAAAAGGTTGTGCTTGGTATCATATCCAGTAGGTTTTGTAGTGTATGTGCCTTGCTGTAGACTTGATCATGTCATCAAATGCGTGCACATGGTGGGGTACAATGCCTTTTATAACCTTGGAAGGTCAGAGTTCCCCTCGGTGTCTTATATGTTTGCAGGGTACCTCCTGGTCTAATGGCAGGCACCCCATCAACTAGGCTAATAACAAGGCCTCAAGATGTTCATGAATTGATCTCTGAACTAGATTAAAGTGTGGATATGGTCCTCGGGCGTTGACGGGGTTTATACATGTCTGGGTATGGAAAACAACATAGAAAATTGATAACATAAGAATCAAAGTATAACACAAGAAGTGCCCTCGGACTGGCCACCTTTTTCAGTCGTCGTCATTGCTGCTAGTCTCGCGAGATCTTCAAACGTCTCTGCGAGCAACTCGCCTGTGACAGCCGAGCACTCAGCGTATCTATCGCAACGAAGTTCCTGCGCAATACGATAGCCCTAGACAACCCAGTTAGTCAATGAGTCAATTCAAGGTGCGAAGCTCCAGCTCATATTCACTCACCTCTTGTGGGTAGATGACTTCATCGCCTTCTCTCCGTAGGTCCCTTTTCAGGCCTATCATCATCACTGGAAGGCGCTCGCCATAGCCGTACTGGAAGTAACGAGTAATGTCATTTCGCCACTAACGAAAAACATTGAGTTTCAGCACGGATTGACAATTGCTCCGAATAATATACGTGAGACTTACCTCTTTTAGTCCAGCGAGTGTGTCTCGATTAGAGATATCAAAGGCTAAAACAACCAGGTCAGGCCGAAGGTTTGTCCAATGCTGGTTTGGGTTGGATGTGTCGTAAAGTTCTAGGGTGAATGTCTTTTTTGAAAACCGGATGTCGTAAATGAAAGGCTGATCACCATCTCGTAATAGTTCAAGAGTATTTGGTTCATTATCAGATGGCAGTGATAAGGACGGTCTTCCACTCTTCAGGCGACTGGATGATGTTAGCATATCCCTATATATAGATCGTTCGGAGACTGCAAACAACTGGGTTTCAGGGCCGTGGTTCGGGCGACGATCAGG